TCCCTTTGGGTGAACAAATTTCTCTCTCCCTTCCAGATTCTCCCATGGAACTAACAGACTTCGAAACAGGCAAAAGTACACCTAATGATGTAGCTTTCCAAGATCCACTAAAAGACAGTATAATGGGAGTTTTACAGCGATTCTCAGGGTCTAAAATAGTGCTTGAGATTCAGTAGGCTTTCATAAATGTTTGCTCAATTGGTAAGAAAGAATCCAGTCGTCAGTTACATATCCTGCTGGGAAAAGTCCTTGTTGGGAGCTCCATGGATAAATGTGTGATTAAGTACATGTGTTTAACAGGGCAGAATTCTTACCAGCTAACTAGCCCCTCATCAAAACCATTGCTTACAGGTTTGTAACAACAGTCTTTGCCATGCAAATTGGTGTGTGTGTGTGTGTGTGTGTACAATGATTACTTTTTTCAGTTAAGCATATGCAAGGGTATTTCTTATGACAATGCCTGGACATTGACTTACCTCACAATATCTGCAGTTTTAGCTCTTGGATAATGAGCGAATTAAGGATTAAACTTTGCAACCCTATGTTCATAGATCCTTACTCTCCAAAGAGGGATGAAGTACAAATGTCATCTTTATATATACAACACTGGAATATACACATACTCATATACATGTACACACATATACTGCATACACTTAAGGCAACAGATGCTTCTTCCTCTCCCTGATCTCGCCATCCTCACATGATATTAGAGAAACTCTGGACTTTAGATGAGTCAAGCTGGAGCTTCTGGGAACACAGCCACAATGACTACACTACCCTGTAGATTTGTGGCTCTCTGCAGAAAGAAAAAGCTTTGGTCTTATTATGGTGACTAGTTTTTCCATTCTTTAGCAAAAGGTAACTAGAATTCAGGCTGATGATAGCTCCTGGTAATTCCTGGAAAGAACAATGGCGTGAAAAGTGGCTTGTATTCTTCTTACGATCAGCAGAGCCCTAAACTCTGGGCCCTGCTAAAATATTCTTGTGGAAGGCACCAGTGATCCATTTACCTAACTGCACACTTACTGTTCCACTTTCTTGTAATACAGACTTCTGAACCTTCCCATAGCAAAGACCGCTTGCCATTTACTAAATCTATTTCCTCTTCCTCCTAGGGACCTGGCTAGACTACATTTCCCAGCTTCCATTGCAGTTGGGCGTGGCTGTATGATTAGGTTCCTTCCTGGAGAAGTGTGCTGCTGTAGTCTCAGGCCTGGTGTTATGTTGGAGGGGGGCGGGGGGCGTCTCCTCCTTTGTTCCTCCAAGCTCTTTTCCTCTCCTGGTTGTCTGGTAAGAGGATCTACTCTCGAGGTGACCCCAAAAAGTAAGGATAAAAATGTAAGGTTGCATCAACCTGGGTTCCTGAATAACTTCTGGGAGCAGAACATTACCCCAACACACACACACACACACACACACACACACACACACACACTAAACTGGACGTTAACAAAAAGCAGTGAAGTTCTTGTACGGAGCCACTGGATAGGAGCCTGTGTGTTATGCATCCTGTTATCACAATAACTATCCCTGATTTCCTAATTTTTTTTTTCTTTTGCCTCCACAACACCACTCTCTCCAGTCTTCCTTCTATCTCTCTGACCTTTCTTCTAACTTTTTAGACTGCCAAATCCATAAACTGGGGAATTTCCCTTGGGTCCTGTCACTTTCTTCTTCTTGCTTCACATGTTCTTCTAGAATGGCTCCTTCTTGCCCACAGGTTCATCTGCCATCAGTCTGTTGATGGTTTGCAAATCTATTTTTATCTCTTATTCCCCCCAAATCACCAGATTCCCCCTGAACACTTTCTAATCATACGTGTTCTCCTCAGTCAACTTCCCCAAGTCCTTGACTTGGGGACAACTTCCTTCTCTCTGAGCTCCATACCTACTCAACCACTCAGACCCATTCAGTACCCTTCAGAAACGCCTCATATGATGCCCTCCTCCACCTGTGCAGTCAGTCTCTCCATCTCTACTTCTCACTGCCTTAGATCTGACTCCATCATTTCTCCATCTCCACAACAAGTTTCTAAATGTCTCTCTACTGCTTATTTCTGCAGCCAGATCACCATAACCTTTGTCAGATTTACTGAACAGTACACACACACACACACACACACACACTTGGGTCTCTCTTGCCGTCCTAAATATAACAATAGTAGCTATCATTTAAGGTGTGCCTCCTATGTGCCAGGTACTGTGCTAAAATGCTCTGTATTAATGTTTTTCTCTTTTAATTCTCTGGGCAGCTAAGGTGGACACTGTTATCCTCATCTTACAAATGAAAACCACTATGAGCATTAAGTAACTCACAGTCACAAAGTTATTAAGTAGTGGAGCTCAAATTCAAGTACAGTATAGTCTGATCCCAAACACATGGCTTTACTGCTGTGTAAAACTGCTTCCAAATCACACCAATCTTGTGAGTATGGTACAGGAGGCTCTTCAAATCCAGCCCAAAACAACCTCTTCATGTACATCTTGGCTCCTTACATTCTAAGAACTAGACCTTTGAACTTGCAAATGCTTCTCAAATGTTTTGCCCTTTCAACACTAAAATCACTTGCCCAGGATGGTGGTCAGCATAAGGCAGGTATCCAAAATATGTTAGTTTCCCTCTTCCTCTTCTTCATGGCTCCTACGCACATACATTCTGTTTCTTCTACCTGTAATTTTCTTTCCTCTTCTGTGCCCGGCACATTCTGAATCATTTTTTCAAAAGTCAGTTGAAATATTTCCTCCTCCCCTGTCAAGCCTTCTGGACTACCCTAGGAAAAGAGTTTTTTTGCACCTCTTTGCTTCCCTAGCATAACTTTGATGCCCTCATTGTGGTTTTTAGCCCCTTATATTGCAATGAATCTTTTGTAAGTCTATCCCTACTATTCACCTACTGCAAACTCACTAGGGCCAGGGAATGTCTTACTCACCTCTGAATTTACAGCCCTAGGATACATTAAAAGCCCTCAAAATCCAATTGTTGACTGAATAGTATTTCAACATGTTCTCATTCCCTTTAATTAGTTCTCCCAAAATAAAGATCTAGACCCTATCTAGAACTATTGTTTTACATACTTGACAGTTGAAAGAAGAATATGCTAAATGTTGTCAAATCACTTAAAAACGGTTTAGAGCTAGGCTAATCAGTATGGTAGTCTAGCTATGTGTCTCTTAAGCACTTGGAATACGGTAAATGTGAATTGAGATGTCCTATAAATATGAAATATGCATAAGATTTCAAACACTTAACTTTTTAAAAAAGAATGTGAAATACTACATTAGTAATTTATATTTATTATATACTTCAAGTGTATTGTAAGTATATCAGATTAAATAGAATATATTATTAAAAGTAATTTATTTTGCATTCCTAATGTGACTACTAGAAAATTTTTAAATTGCATATGTGGCTTGTATTATATTTCTGATGGACTATGCCAGCTTAGAGTTTATAATTTTACAAACATAGTGTGATTTGAGAAGGAAAACACAGACCTGGGGAGTTAGGAAAATTTTCTCTCTCTTTCTCCTCCAAAGTCACATTTGAAAAGAAGGAAGAAAGCAAGAAAGGAAGGAAAGTAAGTTTTATTTTAACTAACAAACAGCTCTATCATGAAGTCAATCTGTATGACTACACATTTGGGGGATTAAGAAATCATTATCTTTTCAACTTAACAACTAGTTATTCAGTCTCCTTTATATGACAAAAATTAGATAACTGTTAATCAAACACCAAGACGTCCCTGGGTGTGCCTAGAATTTAAGACAGATAGCAAAAAATATTAAATAACAGCTAATACACTAAAATTGTCTAAGGACTGGCTTTATCCAATAGAACTCAGAATGAAAAGGGACTTCGATTTTATTAGGTCTAATGTTTATGAGATGCTACCTCAAATTCTTACTGAAAAGAGCAAAAGAAGAAAGAGGAGATACAGAAAAGAAAAGGAATGGAAGAGAAGAGGAAAAGAGAGGAGAAGAAACAGAAGAATAATTGAAAAGGAAAAAAGTTCAGAGTCCACATTTTGAATTTATAACGATCACGAAAGTTCATTTTTTATTAGGATGGAGACCTTTCTACCACGTTTGGCTCCACAGTTCCTCTGGTCTAACTCGTAGCCAATTATTGTCCTGCTATGATCATCCTAACAAAGCTGTGGAAGACAAGCTTTGGGAATTTTGGTATTTGCTAAGTTTAATCCTCAGTACCAATAAGGTCCTTATCGTAAGCATGTTCCATAGTTAAGGTTTTTTAAAAAATTTTTAACGTTTGTGTATTTTTGACGGAGACATAGGCAGAGCATGAGTAGGGGAGGGGCAGAGAGAGAGGGAGACACAGAATCCAAAGCAGGCTCCAGGCTCTGAGCTGTCAGCACAGAGCCTGACTCAGGACTTGAACCATGAGATCATGACCTGAGCTCATGACCGGAGCTGAAGTCTGACACTCAACTGACTGAGCCCACCCATGTGCCCCTGTTCTCTGGTTAGGTTTTAAGTTTCTTAGTGAATAGAAAGAATTACATAATTGTCATTGCTATTTAAATGAGATTCATTCTATAGTGATTATAATAATATCAATAGTTTTATTATTATGAAACTAAAATGTCAGGGAAACTTGATTGTTATTTACTAGCTATTTCCTATAAAGGTTATGATAATTATTAGCATAGTACACAAAGTACTGGTCAGAATATTCAGAGATTTGGGGTTTTGTCAGCCCAGGCTTTTTTTTTTTTTTTCTCACCTCAGAATCAGATAATAAAAATGATCTGCCTCACTCAACTATTTCACTCAATTATTTCATTTTTATGTTTTTACGATAAAGGAGTAGATTGTTTTTAAATAACCTCCAGAGTCACAATGCTCATTCCCATCTCAGATTTAAATGCCTTCAAAATTCTCGACAGTTTTCCTCGATGTTAATAAACAGAATTGTTTAGAAGAAAACAATATTGAAATTGCTACTGTAGAATCGAAGCATGAAAAATATTTTCTTACCACTCCTCATCTGTTCCACCTCACAGAAGTGCGTTCCAGTGGGAGTGTGAATAAATGCGTGGACATGCTTAACTCCATTCTGAAAATTAGGAAAAACAGTTGTTTCCAGTAAAAGTTCAGCATAAGTAATAAAGCCAATTCCTTTAATCAAACTGAGAGCACAAATAACTGAGCAAACCTTTTCAAAACGCTTCCAAGGGACCTCTTCCACGTAGACTTGAGCTCGAATGACATGGTTAAAAGAAGAAAGGAAATGTTCACAGATGCTCATTGCAAAAGTTTCTATGCTTTTGATCTGTAAAAGGAAATAAAATGCTAGAGATCAGAAATAACCTTCTGCATTTTAAAATAATTTTTAAATATCCACAGAGTTCCCTTTCCTGTTCAAATCTTTTACAGAATCCGAGAAATGTACATTTTAAAAGAACCTTGAGAGATGAATTGATCCTTACCCTAATTTTTCATAAGGTCTCTTAAGTGTAGTTAATACATCACCATTATCAGATGAGACTACCTTGTTTTTAAAAGAAACCTGTTTTGCAGGAAGAAACATGTCAATCAATGGATGAGCACAAGAAAACTTGACATTTAGATTCTCCTTTCAGTGAGCTCAGTCATCACCCACGCCAACTACAATACTACGGTGTACTCCAAAACACTGCGGTGTCTTTATGAGTTTGGCAAATGGGCTTCCAAGTTTCCCAAGGGAAAACATTAACTTAAGACCGCTTCTGCTTCCTTGCTTTGCAAACAGACTTTCAATTGACCATCCCTCACTCTCCACCCTCATGAAGCAGCTCCCTACTTCCACACAAATTCTTCATAGTAATCTCTAGACAATGTGTTATGGTCTTAGCAAAGTCCACAGATGATTTATGGCTTGTCTGAGGTGGACTATTTGTACAGGTTTCCCAGGGCAGTTCTGTTTTATGCCTGTTGTCCCAGAATAATTATTTAGCATCTTATTTCACTCTCAGAAGTGTTCTAGTTTGGAAAACAAAAATACTAACTCAAAAAGATATATGTACCCCCGTGTTCATTGCAGCATTATTTGCAATAACCAAATATGGAAACAATTTAAGTGTCCTGTCAGTGAATAAATGGATAAAGGAAATGTAATATATATTGGTAATATATAATGGTCTATATATTTATTTATATGTATTATTTACACCATATTTATATGGTGTGTGTATGTATAGATACATGAAATGGAATATTATTCATCTAAAAAAGAGTGAATCTTGACATTTGTGGTAACACAGATCATAGATGAACCTCGACAGGATTATACTAAGAAATAAGTCAGGAAAAGACAAACACCATATGTTCTCACTTATATGTGGAATCTAAACAACACAAAAACAAACAAACAAGCAAACAAAATCAAGTTCATAGATAGAGAGAACAGATTGGTGGGTGCCAGGAGAGAGGGGATGGGCAAAGTGGGTGAAAGGGAATCAAAACATACAAACTTCCAGTAACAAAATTAGTAAGTCATGGGGATGTGATATACAACACAGCAAATACAGTTAATAATACTGTATTACATATTTGAAAGTTGCTAAGAGAGTAACTCTTACAAGTTCTAATGACAAGAAATAAAAATTTATTTCACCACATACACAAATATCAAACCATCATGTTATACACCTGAAATATAAGTTGTATGCCAATTATACCTCAATTTAAAAAAAAAAGAAAGAAGTGCCTTGTTTTGATAAGAAATTATATGGTCACTCTATTATAATGAATAAATTTGAATTGTCTTTAAGATCCAGGTCCACTCCTTCACTTTTCCTCATCTCTCACACAGTACGGGAAATACAAAAATCTGTGTTACCTAGCCCTCTTTTGTAATGCAGTACAGAAGCCTATTTTCAATTTATTTTTTTAAGAGAGCAATGCCTTTTTTTAGAGCCATGTTTATGCTTGCTGGGCCACTTTGAACAGCAAGAGAAAGGTTCAGAGTGGAGGTAGGCCTTGCAGAAATTACATTTCAATTAGTTTGTTCATTTCATGCATTCTGAGTGTGGGTTTCATGCAAAAGCATGAGAAAAGAAACTTTCTAGTCTACATTTCTTGTCTGTTTAGACTTATTTGCAAAAAGAAAAATCATCTTGAGTTTCCCAGAAATCTGCTGGTTGTCCAACACACCTTCCCTCACACTTAAAGAAACTAGAAGTTGAAGTGCTAAAATATCAGATACTATCAGCTCCAAGACCCTTTTAAAGAATACAGTTACCAACATATATGAATACTAATTGGTCATGCAGTTGAGAGAATTAGGAAGGCATTAAAAGTTGGACCAATATATTTCAAAATATATCTTGTACTCAAGATTTTCTTCTATAGTAACACCAGGAAGAGAAATGGTACTTTCTTTATAAATGAAAGTACCATTCTAAAAGGAAAAAAATAAATAAATAAGTAACAGGAATCAAAGAAATGCATGACCAAAAAATGTGTAAAATTCTATTCTGACTTCCTCCCAGGGCCTTGATTTTCCAATGATCCTAATTAAGAGAGAACATGTAAATTTGTCAGATAGGATTCTTTTCCTAAGAGATGTAGTAAGTTGAGAACCAAAAAAAGAGAAGTGAGATTAAGAGGGGGGGTGGGGGCTGGTGAGTTTTTCTGTAAGGCTGAGAATTTTAGTATAGAAAAAAAAATTTAGTGGCCTAAACGTAAAAATAGGGTTAAAAAGTAAAGGGAACTTGCAGTAAGCAAGTGATACACTCATATTATAGATCAGTGAAATTTGCATTAAGATAGGCATCATCTAGGGGCGCCTGGGTGGCTCAGTCGGTTGTGTCCTACTTTGGCTAGGGTCATGACCTTGTGGTTTGTGAGTTCCAGCCCCAAAATGGGCTTTGTGCTGACAACACCGAGCCTGCAGCCTGATTCAGATTCTGTGTCTCCCTCTCTCTCTGTTTCTCCCCTACTCGCACTCTGTCTCTCTCTCTCAAAAATAAAGATTAAAAAAATTAGAAAAGAAAGATAGGCAGCATCTAAGCATTATACATACCCCTTTAAATTTTGCCAAGACGTGAACTGTGTTCTTGATGGTGTCTGTGGGGATGATGTCTGAATTATCTCCATACAGATAATCTTTTTTGGAGCTCAGAGTAAGTTGCACTGAGGTTGCCACCTCTTTAATGCTGTGATATTTCCCATCTCGCTGAATATGGAGAACTTTTACCATATCCTTCCCATAGCCAGTTCGGACAAACTCCACCTCCTCATTCTGCAATGAAAATACAGTCATCACATTGAAGAAAGATACATGAAAGCAAAAAATCAACTTTAAGTTCTTCAAGCCTTGATTTAATTGCATAATTATGAAAGGTGAGAGTTAAGAGTATTCATGAAAGCAAGACCATATCCTACTTTTGAATAAAAATGGGAACATATATTTTAAAAACTTTTAAATGTTTATTTATATTTGCGAGAGGTAGAAAGAGCGTGAGTGGGGGAGGGGCAGGGAAAGAGGGAGACAGAGAATCTGAAGCAGGCTGCCTGCCGGCTCTGCCCTGTCAGCACAGAGCCGAGACGCAGGGCTCAAACTCACAAACCACAAGATCATGACCTGAGCTGAAGTCAGACACTTAACCCACTGAGCCACCCAGGTGTCCCCAAAATGGGAACTTTTATGGAGAAAAGAGAACTGCAAGAAATAGATGAAACTATATCAAACTAGCCTTAAGACAGACAGGTAGATGGCGTTCTTGATAACAATAAGTAATAATAATAATAACAGTATCTCCTGGACCAAACTATTTACTCTGTTTCATTTAACAATTGCTGACTTAATCCTTGTAACAGCTCTATGAACTAATATTATTCCCATTTTACAGAGGGAGAAACTGAGGTTCAGAGTTTAAGTGACTTGCTCTACTTCCCACAGCCAATAAAAGATAGAGCAAATAATTCATACTCAGATCTGTTGGCTCCGAATTTTATCCTCCTAACGGCTATGCAGACTGCCACTCTTTTACAAAAATGTTTGACTATGTAAACTGAAAATAATTATATCCTGTTTTTTATACAGAGTGATATACTGGAGAAAACGCCCTATGATCACTAAAAACAATTTGAAAATTGCTTCTCCTACTTGCTGCCGGGAAGAAAAGTAATTAGTGACAGGGTCCAGATTCCCTTCAGGAGTGCAGAGTCAGGCCATCTGGCTGCAGGAAAAGCTGTGCTTTTAGCAAACAGACACTTAATAAAAGCCTGGTGATTGACTCATTAGTGCCCTTATTTGGAGCTGGGGCTCTCTCGAGCAAATACATCCATTTCCACTGCTAGGATTCATAAGATTCATCCCTGGACTTTACTGGTGTTTGAAAGAATGGGCAAGAGGAGACAGAGGGACAGAGAAACCTGTTTTATTTAGCATCACAATTGAACATTAAAATGATAATGCCAGAAAGTGACAAAAATAAAAAGTAAATGAAAAACAACATGCAATGAGAGCCTGGGGAGGGTCACAAGGAAGGAACCTCGCCTGCTAATTGCACATAGTCTACCTAAAAATCTGTGTCCATAAAGCATCACCATATCGTCTGGGAGGAATGTAAAATACTAACCAACATCAGACATTATTGCTACATTGTTGTTCATCAAAATGGAAGGTATGGGAGGCTGTCTTAAACCTTGGTGATGGAGCATGCTGCTGATTTAAGGGACAGCTCTTGGAGAGGTCCCTCAAAATCCTCTGACCCAGTTTTGGAGGGACTCATCTTCTAGAAAAGGATCAGTGAGAAAACTCAAAGAGCAGGCTTAGAGGATCTCAATAAGAACCATGACACTGATGGGGAAACAGTCACTGCTTGTGGTTGCTGGGGCTTTGGAGCCAGATCAGGTCCAGATTCTATCTTGCCATCTATAGCTTTGTGGCTTGCAACAAACAATTTGTTGGCTCTGAGTCCTCAGTTTCCCCAGCTGTACAAACGGAGATAACCGCCCATACCTGTAAGAGTTGCTGGTGAAAGGCCTGACTCAGTTCCTAGTACCTACTGCTGCATGAGGTCCACCCCAGCAATAGTGGCCACAGCAGGCCTGGCTTGGGCACCGCAAGCAGCAGAGATAGCAGGTGGGGCATTGAGGAAAGGCATCGTTGTTCAGAGCAGAGAACACTGCTGGCAGCAGTCAGAGGAAGACTCTGACATGTCTTTTGAGGCACAAACGATTCCACCCGGGAGAGGAAGGCGCTTGGCTGACTCGGGGCCCCTGGATGGCATGAACAAGGGGCCAGAACCAAAGGTCTCTGAGGTCGTCCATCAGCCCCGGGACACATATGAATGTTACTTCTCGGTCCTATGCACTGCCATTAAATACACAAGCTATGGTAGCTCACTCCATGAAAGCAAGTGGTTCCTGCATGGTATGTAGAAAGATTCAGGGACACCTGGGTGGCTCAGTCATTTGAGCATCCGAGTTTGGATCAAGTTATGATCTCACGGTTTGTGAGTCTGAGCCCTACATGGGGCTCGCTGGTGTCTGTACAGAGCCTATTCGAATACTCTCTTCCCCTCCCCTGCTAGTGCTCGCTTCCTCTCTCCTTCTCCCTCTCTCTCTCTCTCTCTCTTTCCTCTCAAAAATAAATACACATTTTTTTTAAAAAAAAAAGAAAGATTCAGTGACAGCCACCCTTCAGATTCCTAACCTCGCTCTCATCTTGTCACAGCCTGTCTCGAACTCTGCTTCAGTTATCCCGGGCTGATTGTGTTTGCCCAGGCTCTGAAGGCTTTCTCTACCTGTAGGCTTTGAATATGCTATTCCTTCTTTCTTGAACACTCTTTCTCTTCCTTCTGCCCAACTACCTGCCCCTTTTGTCACCAGCCTAACTTCTAGTCATCCTTCAGGTCTCAGATGCCCCTTTCCCTGGGGAATCAGCCAGCCCTTCAAGGTCTGGTGCCCCTTCTATGTGTCTGGAAACACTGTTATTGCCTTATCACAGTCTTTATCATATTATATTGCAATTGCCTCGTCATGTGTCTGATTTGTTCAAAAATGGGAAATTATGAAAGCCGGAACAATTCTTAGTTGTCATGGCAACCTCAGTGCTCAGCACAGTGCCTAGAACATAAATAGGTGCTTAATAAATGCGTAGCGACTGAATAAATGGCGCACCACCACCTCCACCTCTTGTGTGGTGACACGGAATAGTTAATGAAAACACCCAAAAGGTTTCAATACAGCAATTGCCACTCAGCTCAAACCCCAATCAGGAAGTTCCTCTTCGAGGGAAAGCGGGGAAGGCGGTATCTGCAGTCTGATCACCGCGGCCTGGAGATCACAGGCACAGCCCACTGGAGAACAAAGGCCCAGGGAGGACAGCACTGAGTGTAAATAGAGTCAGTCGTGCGGCGCCAAGTGCTCACACTGCTAACAAGACAGAGCACACCGCACGGCGCAGGCATCCTGGAGTTCCTGCGTGACGCGTGCAGGAGAGGTCAGCACCCCTCAGCCAGCTCCTGACCAGAGCAAAGCTGGAGTCATCACATTTGCTAGCTATTAAGTCAGAAGAGAAAGGACATAACCATCTGATGATGGAGCAAAATAGAACAACGACAGAGTGGGACGCCCGGGAGCCTCTGGGCAGGACCTGACAGGACAGGTAACCATCCAGACCAGAAAAGAGGTTGTTCCCATCAATAGACTTCCCCCAGATCTGTAGTCAGAGAAATCAGAGGTAGGTGCCAGAACGCTGTCCTGTACAAAGCACAGTGCGGTGCGGAGATGCATGTGCCTGATAACTGGAGGGGCAGCAGGTGGCTGAGAAGGCAGGCTCTGGGCTCTGGAATCAGGCAGCACAGGTGTGAGCCTTTGTTCTGCCACCTGTTAGCTCTGTGCATGGAGGTGAATGTCTCCATCTATAAAATGGGAATAATAGTAGTGCCTACTGTCAGGATTGCTGTAAGGAGGAAAACAAAGCACTCAGAAAAGTGCCCGATAAATAGTAGGTGTTCAATAAATGTTAGCCATAATTATTATTGACAAATAATAACTAGATGTCAAATTTTGCATCAAATGGCTCTTCCAGTCACTGTTGGAGAGAAATCCCCAGGTTCCACACCAATCCAGAAAGACTGCTGCTATGACAGGTCCCTGCTGCCTTCATACTTCGGTTGTCCTTCTTAGGGCTTTGTGTGGCCTCCGGAAACAAAGTCACAAAAGGAAACTCAGTTTCCCAGAGTAAAACTCTGGGTAGAACATGAGAAGCAATACATCTCTACCAGGCTCTACCAAAGAAAAAAGTCCCTTTTCCTAGACATGTCTTGAAAGATAAGAGGATGGAAATCATTATTTACTTGCAATAAGGTTGGAGAGAACTCTCAGATGCTTCAAATTAATCTTATTTTTCACTTCTGTAATGAGCTAGTGAGCTTTCTTGTATTTGGAGGCCATAGTGAAAGTGCTACAGGATGAGAGGTTCTTAGTCTGGAGTCTGTTAACCTCTAGAAGGCCCAGCGGATAGGTTTGAGGCGGAAAAATATTAAGAAAGATTTTTTTAACTTTTTTTTGTGAGTTCAAATTTTATTCTTTTAAGTTTATTTTATTATTTATTTTGAGAGAAGGGGAGAGAGAGCAGATTGAGAGGGAGAGAATCCCAAGCAGGTTCTTCATTGTCAGCACTGAGCCCCACGGACCATGAGACCATGACCAGAGCCAAAATCAAGAATTGGACACTCTACCGACTGGACCACCCAGGTGCCCCATGTAAATTTAAATTTTAAAATGACTAGCATTTTCTCTTCAGTCTTTGAAGGGCTTCTGTAAGCCTTTTGTCTTCCCTCCATGTGAGAGAGAAATGTAGAAGTACTAGCTATTTAGGACTCATCACACAGGCATAAAAATCAACTCAGGTGCAATGTGCCCTGATGAAAGTACTGTGCATGGAGACAAGTCTCTCTTTCTGTCTTTGGAATGTGTTGGAGAAGTTCTTTCAATTCTGTGCCCAGGTTCTTCCTTGGTCTGACTATTTTCTTAGGCATTCACGAACAAAAAGATTTCAGAGAAAGATGCTGAACTAATAATATGAGAAAAAGAAACACTCATCTGAACAATTTTAATATCGCTTTGGTGGATCTTAACAATACATACGGATAAGAACAATAATGGTTAATCATAACCTTAGAAGCAGCTGGTATTTTTTTGGCTGCCTAGGATCTACCAAATGTCAGATGGGAAAATATTGATATCTAGTAGAAAATGTCATGTTGCTTTAAGCTGTAGAATGGC